TCTCTTAAGGCCTAGACTCAAAGTGGCCTGTGGGATTTGCTGTCTTGATTTAATTAAAGATTTTCTTAAAATTCAGAATGTTTTGATGTCAAAAATGCCCTTGTATGACTTTTGGATGCATCCTCTGGCTAGAGACGCTAATTTGGTTTTAAATATACTGCTTTTCCTTGATGTACACTCAACTTTACTTGTTTTTTAGACTTTTAAAGATACAATGTGTAACCTTGTATGGTGTGTCTCCAGATAATTGTTTGGTTTAGAATGTTCCACATTAAACTTATCAAGCTCTACTGGAATTTCTGGAGCGGCAATGTCACTCACAGTAATCCAGTTACGGTATTCTTCACAAAAAAACAAACAAAAAACATTTCTACAAGTGGTGTTCCTTCCACCAGAGAAGTAGTGAATCTCTAAATAAAATACATAAACAAAATAAAAACAACAACCACTAAAACAATTGAAATGTTGTTCTAACACATGTAAAAGTTATGTATTAAAATTATACAAGTATATATAATTAACCGAATATTACCTGACAATTTTCTTGCCAATGTTCACACTTTGTATTCCAGACGGTTCTAGGTGTATTGAAAGTCAATGGGCTCATCAGTAAAATGTTAAGTGCAGGTGAAGTTTGCAGAATCAGCATTTGTTTTAAATGGCACTAAAGCTTCAACCAAAATGCCACAACAGCAAGAAGAGCAGACGAGACTGTGCATCCAATATGAATGAATGAGAGAGGGCCATTATAGATACGGTATTTACTAATATTCAAATCATAGAACTGATATTTCACTTGAATTTATTACAGCTACAGAATGTCATAAAGCTGTAATTAAATAAAAAAATAAAAATGTAGAGCTGTTTAATGTCATACTGTGGAACATTCCAGGCAGAGCAATGACATCTCCATAGAACATAGTGCACCTTTAAAACTGTTAAAATAACGCTAGTTCTAAAATATCTCTAAAAATACGTATTCTTAGTGTGAGCAGATTCCCCTCTCCACAGATCTGACTTGTCTTCTTGGAGGTAAATAAGTCTAATGCCATACTGTGGAACATTTTAGGCACAACCATTACACCTCAATGGAGACAAGCAATCAGGTAGCGGACCCTCTGCTCTAAGTTCTGCTCCCTACTGTCCAAGAAAGACAGAAAATGTATTGTTTTTGTCATTAAAAACAATAAATCAATTAAACTGAGCAATAATTATGATCAAGTTTTTGTCTGATTGTGGCACAGGTTAAAAAAATAAATAAAATGGCATCCTAATCAAACTTTTAACACCAGCAGAATAAGAATAAGAAAAGCTCGTATAAGGAGCTTGGCCTGCGTGTAATTGATTTGAATGCATGGTGCTGTAAAATGCATGGGCTTGCGGTGGGCTCTTGTTGACACGCTGGTACCAGGGGGCGCCGCTGTGATCTGTAATGGCAGTGTTAATATTTGATGCTAAGCGTGTTGTGAAGAGGAGCGAGGTCTTCTGTGCGAGAGGATAGGACATGACAAGGACTAGACCCCAGGTGGCGCCGTGGAGGGTGCTAAGAGGGATAAAAGGATTTAGATAGAAGGTTTTGGATAGAGTTTGACAGAATGATGTTAGAGTGTACACTGTAAAAAATAGTCATGTAAGGCGGTAAAAAGAAATTGGTAGTTTTCGAAAACAATTTACAGCTTATCTTTTGATTTCATTGAGGAATCAGGAAAGCAAAAAAAAATAAATCATTACTTTGTTGCTTCAAATTGTATATACATTATACATTCAGTATTACATGTAGCAATATTATAATTTGAACTCCAACTCACTTTACATTGAAAAATTGTTGCCCCGCTCTCTGTAATTCCAGTGAGCCACATCATTTCAGTCTTAAAATGTTTGTATTAACCCACCCTACATGATTTTGGTGTTTTTATTTCACCATTTTGTCCGTAAATAAATTATATTTCTAATATGAAACTCGGCTCTAAATTCACTCCACGACCACTTGCCTTGGTGAGCTTCATTTGACAGGAGCCAAACATTATGGGTCAGAGTCCTGCACCAGGTCTGGGACCCGCAAAACGGGCGGGTTATAACGTGTTGGAATTTGGGCAGGTATGCAGGCGGGTAGTGATTACACATAGGCGGGTCAGGACTAAACCAGGACTAAACCAGGAATAATCTTGGACTTGAGAGAGAGAGAACCCCGAGCCCATGGAGCAGGGTGGCCACAAGGCACGATCGGGCGACGGCTGCACTTACCCCCGTGAGGCGCGGAGCTCTACACTGGTCCTTTTGCCTGTGGTCACCTGATGGTCTATGCAGACGCACCTCCGGGCCCGTCCCAACTGTCAGTCCTAGTTCAGTCCTGGTTTAGTCCTCCTGTTTCAGTCCTGGGATCAGTTCTAGGTTAGTACTGGGTTACTCTTGTTTAGTCCTGGTTCAGTCCAGATGCGATGTAAAAGTCCAGCATCTCGATCAATAATTCTTCTCCCCAGTAGATAATGCCTGTGAAGTGATGACGCATTTTTAACAGTTGAGTCACGTCTGTGAATTTGTATTCGTACTGAAGAAAGTGCAATCGTTTTATTTCATTTTGTGATTGTAATTCTTGACATCGTAACTTTTCAGTTCCTATTCTGATGGAAAAAATACACACAACACATTTTATGCATGTCTGGACTCATTCGAGAGTTTACGAATATTTATTTTATGCTCAACTACAGCCAAATGTGCACAGATTTCTATCCTATGCACATGAATATTTCTGAAAGCTTTCTTACTCTATACTATTGCCTATTCAAACCACCTATTCAATCCTCGTTTAGCGTCAGGTTTCTGTTGAGAGGTGCATCAAAAAAATTGTGTTTCAGTTAGAATGCTTTTAATTTGTGTGTGATTTATCACGGGCACGGGTGGGTGACGGGTGGAATGTTAATGGGTCTGGGCGGGTGCGGGTTTAACTTTGATATAATCACAGGTTAACTGACAGGTTTGATGCTGTATTGTAAGTGTGGGCGGGTGCGGGTCTGCAAAAATGGACCCGTGCAGGGGGTGACGTCACACTCCCATAGTCCCCTTCTTTATAAAGTCTATGGTCTGAAATAAAGCCGGATTGATTAATATACAGCGAAATAGTTGACAATGCAGGTGCAGTTTAATAATAGCAGTCTTGTAGTTAATATTGTATACATTTTAGATTTATTTTAGGTAGAAATTCAGCCCATTTTCACAGTGCAAGTGTATTATTTTTTCCAGCGCATCTTGAAGCCGCTCCACAAGGACAGTGTGAAGTGATCAGGAGCTCAGCGGCCTGCAAAATGACTTTACATTTGGAAAAACCCGAGCACGGCTTTACATTTTTTGACAGGACAAGGTTGAGAGAAAGTGTTCGAGATTTGTTATTGTGAAGCCTCAATTTCCCATGAGCCTTTGCTCCGAGCTCAGTAAGATGTAGCAGACGCCTTGAATTAACATTTCTGACAGAGAGCTGCTGTTATTACATTCAGGGTTACTTGCTAGATATAAGGTCTGTACAGATTTGATTTACATTTTAATGACATCGGTTACTTGTATGTATATCCTTGAAATAAAACAGACTTTTATTCACTTCTCAGATCTTGCTCTTAAAGCCCTACCATGTAACTTTTCAGCAAAATAAAGAAAAACATATATTTTCATTAGGTTTTTATTGCACTAATAATCTTGACGAACACGTACCGTATCTGTCAACAGATTTGCATCTCCACAAACCTGACTCAAACATGGCCTGAAACATGGCCTGACTGTTTCCATCATGATTGTTCTTTGCCTCCATGAAGAATATTCCAGTCATATGGTTTGAGCTACTTTCATGGAATTATGATGTGCTGCTATCAAAAGGTTACACAGTGTTGCTTTAAATGAATGTGAAAGACAGCTTTGAGAACCTATAGGTGAGTATAGCTTTTGTCAGATTGCCTCATGTAGATGTGGCACTGAATCAATAAAGCACATTTTTAAGTGTTTTTAATAGACTTGGGTGCCTAGAAGAGTTTGGTAAGACTAATTACTGAGCTTTGTCTGTGCTTGACCCTAACGTACATTGTGCTAAATGAATTTTTAATTAAATTAAATGTTTCAATTATCTGACGCATGGCTTTGTGGCTTCAAGCACTTTGTCTGAAGTTTTAGAGTTTCAAATATCAAAATAATATAAAACAGACATATTTAGTGAATTAAATGAATTAAAAGGACAAATAATTTTCCAATAAGAAGTGAAAACAATGGCTCATTCATTCTTGGATTTCTGTTTTTTGGCAGGTAAACATTTTACGTTCTTTTACAATGGAACATAGTAGAATCCATATTGACATCAGTGCGGTCATATCAACAGAAACAAGAACAACACCAAAAAAACTACCCAAAAAGGAGTGGGCAGAAGAAAAACGTATTTAATCCAACCCCCATCTTCTACATAATGAGCTTTCTTTTACATTCTTCAGACATTTTACATCAAACCATATGAACTATTTACACGTGAGGACAATGTATCTGTCATATCTTGGTAACTTATTTATTGTCATACTGCAATAATTTAAAAATCTACTCTGTACTGCAGTTATTTTGAATGCAATTTGAAGATAACAAGAGAAAAAAAAAAAATTATTTCCAGAGGTGGATTTCTTTTTCTTTTTACAACAAACAAAAATCTACATTATTGAACAGAACTGTGTAGCTTTACAGGGCACCTTGAATACAAATGAAAAAAAAAATCATTACTTTGTTGCTTCAAGTTGTATATACATTATACATTCAAGTTTGTCAACAGCTCCCCTCACCTCCTCATCTCAATCTTTCAATCGAACGTGACAGCTGCTGTGTCCGTGCTGAATATGAATCAGGCAAAAAATTTGTCTCTTATAATAAAGTCTCCAATGGGACATCATCTGATACCCGCACCACACTGTATGATAATAAGACTAATTTTAATTGTCATGTTGTTTTAAAATGTCTGCCTTTGTTTTGTTTTTTCTCAGATGTTCCAGACAGGAAGTTGACGACGGACGAAGAGGAAGCCAAGCGGATCGCAGAGATGGGGAAGCCGGTTCTGGGGGAGCATTCAAAAATGGAAGTCATTATTGAAGAATCGTACGAGTTTAAGGTATGAAAGGTTGAACATCAATAGAAAAGTCCACTCATAAATATGAAATCCACCTCTGGTAATAATATGTGCTGTTTTATTCATTTGTGTTAGAGTGGTGTGAATGTAAGTGGTTTATTTTTAGACAGTGTGAGAAATAAAGGCCTGTGTTGGTTTGTGATGTGGGGTTTTCCTTGCATTGAAAAATTGATGCAAGAAAACTGATGTCACTACTGCCCCCATGTGGTCGTCCAAATAAATGTCTATTTACTTCTGCAAGATGCTTACGTTGATAACATAAAGTGTAAATTAGTCAAGCTTTTCTTTTCTTTTCAGATTTAAAAGATGTATTCCAAATAGTAATTCCAAATTATCACATCGCATTTTGGAAAGTCATGCAGACAGGAAAAATAGGCAAACATGCCATTACCTTGAATACGAAACACATGATATAATCTTAAGTGTTAGTAAAAATGTGTTATAAAGATTCAAGACTAATTTGTATTTTTATTCTAATTAAAACATCAAACTTAAACACGTAAGGTCAGCAATAGTCATGAAAGAAATGAAAATGATGTCATGTTTTATGTTGGTACAGAACACAGTGGACAAGCTGATAAAGAAGACCAACCTGGCTTTAGTGGTGGGAACCAACTCATGGAGAGACCAGTTCATGGAGGCCATCACCGTCAGCGCAGGTAAAGACATCAATGGAAAAAAGTGTTTTGGTTGACTTTAATTTTGAAGATTTACTCATAATTAGGATAGATTAATCACACATCTGTCTATAGTTCATAACATACAAAAAGGTTATATTGAAAGAAAGTTAGTGTTTATTTTAACTGGGTGTTCCAATACTTTTGTGTGTTTATTTTAACTGGGTATTTTTCTATTATTCTTATGGACACCACATCCAACATATGCAACTAAAGATGTCAAGATTGTTAGGTTAATTAATGATTTCAATTATTCAGATCACAATATAATAGTGAGAGTTATACAATGACAGTTTAAAAGCAAAATTAAGTAATTTTCCTTCAACCTATACTCCCCAAAAATACAATTAATGTAAAGTGCTTTTTATCTGGTTGTTTAAATGGATTCTTGTGAGCTTTAAACCATGTTGGAATGTTGTTACCTCATCAAAAACATACCTGGAGTTGTGTTTTGTTTCGTTCACACATGTTTGAGTAATCCTTTATTATGAGTCTGTCTAAATTCCCAAAGCTTAAAATGCTCTTTTCCACCTTGTGATGTCATGTGGTAGTGGTAGTTTTGAAGTTAACAGCTCCTTTTACCTTTGGTTCAATAGAGGCAATTCCAGGGCTGAAATCATCCAAATAATTCTAGTGAATGTGTATGGAGTTTAAGAACACAGCCAAATATGCAGGGTTTGTGTGTTAAACATGTGTGAATAAAATAGAACAAAACTCCAGGTATGTTGTGATGAGAAAACAGCATTATAATACACATCAGAAAATAGTACAATATGGTGACTGATACACTTACTGTGACTGTGTGCTACATTAAAAAAAGAGGAAACAAGAATTATCAGATTATACTCAAATCAAACTTTACTGCATTGTTCAGTGCAGGACCATCTGTTTGTTTGTTTTTTGTTGATGTTTTGCGTCAGTATCAGATGTTTCTTGAACCACAACACAGTCTTCACAGTCTCCACTCGTCTCTTTGGTGTTGCAATATTAAATCCAGCGACATCTTTACTTTTTCATGTTTGGATCTGAAAAATACATGTGCTTGGATGGACTGACGCTTTGAATCAGCACTGTGTCTCTCTTTGTCCCGGTGTCCTCTGTCTGCTGATGGGACAGAGGACAGGGGACAGGGGACAGGCAGAGTTTAGTACAGTACAAATCGTCCTCTCATCAAACAAGATGGTGATGGTTTGTGATTCAAGGAAACAGCTGAGGTCACTGCAGTCTGCAATCCGTTCTGCAAAATGGTTTCAAGTTGTAATAGAATGTAATTTTCACTTTGGGACACTTAATTGTTGTAATGGTGGCAGTATTTTCGAGCCAAACGCATTCACTTCAACTTGTTTATTGCCTTCATCTGTTAGTATCTATTTCAGCATGTTTCATTCTCCACTGTTTGAGGCAAGCCGTCTCTGTAAAAGTGAATCAAGTTGTCCTTTTGAATGCATTGTTTTAAAGGTGCACTCTGTAACTTTTCCAGTGGCGGGTCTGGCACCTTCTTGTCTCCATTGAAAATTGAATTGCTTTACCTACAATTTAGTTAATTAATTAATCATTGGATTTATATAGTGACTTTCAAAGGGTAAGGACACAACAGTGTTTTTGCCACTTAGTTTCAGACTTTGATAAGCAGTTATGGCCAAAGAATGTGTACATTGTTCTACAGTATGGCACTGAAATGTTTATTCCATGAGGAGAAGCAGGTCACAAGAGCAGCAAGTTGCAGGTTAGATGAGGCAAGTCCGCTCACTGTAAAAATGTATGTTTTTTGAAGGTATTTTTAAGCAGTAAAACACAATTATAGACCTGCAGACCCTTCACCAGAAAACTTATTTAGTGACTTTAAAGTGTGCATTTTATATCATTTGGTACTTTTAAGCCAATGTTTTGAAGGCCACTTAATTTATTTAGTTTATTCACAATTGTTTTAATCTTTTTTTTTTTTAATAGGAAAGTCCCTTTGAGATATATAGACCAGTCCTGGCCAAGGAGCATCAACAACACAACCCACAGACAAAACATGTCATATAAACAAACAGATAGAAAACAGAACTACACATTGTAGATACACAATTACAAACAGTGACAGTTCATGTTTGCTTTTCCAGGTCTTTCAGGAGGATGAAATACATATGTACAAGATTTTGCAGTTATACCTTAATTGTTTCTCTCTCCATAGATGAGGACGAGGAGGACACGGGTGAAGAGCGGCTGCCATCTTGTTTCGATTACGTCATGCACTTCCTGACGGTGTTCTGGAAGGTTCTTTTCGCGTGTGTCCCGCCCACAGAGTACTGGCATGGCTGGGCCTGCTTTATCGTGTCCATCATCATCATCGGGGTCCTCACTGCCATCATCGGGGACCTGGCCTCTCACTTCGGCTGCACCATCGGCCTGAAGGACTCCGTCACTGCTGTGGTGTTTGTGGCTCTGGGCACCTCTGTACCAGGTGAATGCATGCTGGAGAATGAGCTCAGTTACATTTAGACATTACATTTGACATTTACATTTTAATGCAAATTTACTTTCATGAGTAGTTTTCAAACACCATAAATGAATACTATATTCTTCAGTGTAACAGTACTCTTATACTTTAGATTACTCTTCCTACTGTGGCAAAAGCCTTGTGTAGCAAAATGAAGTGATTTGAACATTTGTGTTTATTATTTAAAGGTGCACTATGTAACTTTTTGATTCAGGGTCCATCATCTGCTTGTTTCTATAGAGATGTCATTGCTTTGCCTGGAATGTTCCACAATAGGACATTAAACAGCTCTACCTTACATTTATTCAATTACAGGTGGTTTCATAGTTCAAAAATACATAGAAAAACAAACTCTGATTGTGAGCGGGGTTGCCTCTCCACAGATCTGACCGGGAACTTGGTTTGGTCTCCATGAAGATAGAGAGGTTTAATGCCATACTGTGAAACATCTCAGACAAAGCAATAACGTCTACAAGGAGAAAAGCATTTGATGGACCCTCCACCAGAAAAGTTGCGCAATGCACCTTTAATGTGTTATTCTTCTACTTACTTCAAATTTTGAATTATAAATTATAAATCAGACTGTGTAGTGGTAGTTTCCCCAAAACTTTGTTTTCACTCTTACTTGAGTAATTTCCTGGAACACTACTCAATGTAAAACTAATACTATTTTAAAGTTTCATTACTCTTACTTGTTTTGGCTAGTCTATCCACTTCTGGACAGACTGCATCTACATCTGCATCCCTTCCCCGCCTTGACTGAGTCCTTTGGCTAACAATGATTTAATTAGTACGATAACCTTTACTTGTATTTGAGGTATTCTCTGATCCCAAGACCCAACCAAAATATAATAATTTGCCATTTTATGATTCACTAAAGATACCCCTATTTTCTGAGCTGGTATTTTTTTGACAAGTACCTTTATATCATAGGCAAACCTTCTATATATCTGTTGTATTCAAGGCCATAAAATGCTGAACTATATATTGTCTCTCTGCAAAGTACCCATATCCCTGTCTATACCTATTCCTTATATTTATGACACGGAGACAGACAGTGTGGCCCTTCCCTACAGTGGTGTCAATGCTGAATAATTCATCTAATATCCTCTTTCTTTTACTGACACTTGATTTATTATATGCCCCCTCCATATTCTGTGGATTCCTTCGGCATATTCGCTTTGTCATCCAATACTTTTGTTATTTTGACCTGAAGTAACAATCTGTCTCTAAACTTTGTCCATGTCAGCGTTTCTGCTTATTAAAGGTCGTATGTGCGGCATTAATAAATCATAAGTGCATGCATAAGGAAAACATAAAGATTGGGGACTGCATTGGTGTTGCATTATAAACACATGCAGATAAAACAGGAAGGTTAGTTTGGTTAACCCATGAGGGAGCTATGGAAAATGTATAGAAATATATGGAAGTCAAGGTAATTGCATTTTTTTTTTTTTTTTCAAATAAATAAGTTTATCTTTCCATAGACACTATAACTCTACCTCTTCTCTCTTCAGACACATTTGCCAGTAAAGTCGCAGCAGTCCAGGACACTTACGCCGACGCCTCTATCGGCAACGTCACCGGGAGCAACGCGGTCAATGTGTTTCTGGGCATCGGCATGGCCTGGTCCGTCGCTGCCATCTACTGGAAATCCAAAGGAAAGCCCTTCGTGGTCGAGGCGGGCTCTCTGGCTTTCTCAGTCACCCTGTTTACGATCTTTGCCTTTCTGGCCATTTCGGTGCTGCTGTACAGACGCAGGCCGCACATCGGAGGAGAGCTTGGGGGGCCCTGGGGACACAGACTGATCACTTCCTTGTTCTTCTTCAGCCTGTGGTTCCTTTACATCCTGTTTTCCAGTCTGGAGGCCTACTGTCATATAGAGGGCTTTTAAAAACTCCACTGAGAGGTGTGAATGAAAGCATAGGTCAATCAAAATAATGACTCACAAACCTCCCTCAAACCCAACTGCAAGGACCGGCCACAGTCAAGAGCGTCCCGAAAAGTGCCCGGGGGCCAGGCGTTGTCCTTACAGCCGGGAAGGGATGGGGTCCACCTCCACAGAAGACAAGGGATGGTCCTGCATTTCCTATGGGACAAAAAGGAGTCAACAAGAGGTCTATTTTTCTCACACACAAGACGAGAATGACTTTTTCTAAGAAGTATTTTGGGGATAAAAATGCAAAAAATAGATAAAACAAAAAAACTAAGGAAAAAGAGGAGAACTATTTTCTGGAAAAAATGTGAGTGACAATGCATTGGAGTCATAATTATTTATTTTTATTTGTTTCATGTGAAGCTTATATGGACTGGCAGAGCATTGAACAAAATGGTGGACATTGTCAAACTGCCCTGGACATTACTTCAGTACTCTATACCTATCTATATATAATATATTTCCATATTTTCTGTATATTTTGAA